TTTATGATGGACAGATGCACTTTTATGATGGATAGATGCACTTTTATGATGGACAGATGCACTTTTATGATGGCTAGATGCACTTTTATGATGGACAGATGCACTTTTATGATGGACAGATGCACTTTTATGATGGATAGATGCACTTTTATGATGGACAGATGCACTTTTATGATGGACAGATGCACTTTTATGATGGATAGATGCACTTTTATGATGGACAGATGCACTTTTATGATGGACAGATGCACTTTTATGATGGACAGATGCACTTTTATGATGGACAGATGCACTTTTATGATGGACAGATGCACTTTTATGACGGATAGATGCACTTTTATGATGGACAGATGCACTTTTATGATGGACAGATGCACTTTTATGATGGACAGATGCACTTTTATGATGGATAGATGCACTTTTATGATGGACAGATGCACTTTTATGATGGACAGATGCACTTTTATGATGGACAGATGCACTTTTATGATGGACAGATGCACTTTTATGATGGACAGATGCACTTTTATGATGGACAGATGCACTTTTATGATGCATAGATGCACTTTTATGATGGACAGATGCACTTTTATGATGGACAGATGCACTTTTATGATGGACAGATGCACTTTTATGATGGACAGATGCACTTTTATGATGGACAGATGCACTTTTATGATGGACAGATGCACTTTTATGATGGACAGATGCACTTTTATGATGGACAGATGCACTTTTATGATGGACAGATGCACTTTTATGATGGATAGATGCACTTTTATGACGGATAGATGCACTTTTATGACGGATAGATGCACTTTTATGATGGATAGATGCACTTTTATGATGGACAGATGCACTTTTATGATGGACAGATGCATTTTTATGACGGATAGATGCACTTTTATGATGGACAGATGCACTTTTATGATGGACAGATGCACTTTAATGATGGATAGATGCACTTTTATGATGGACAGATGCATTTTTATGACGGATAGATGCACTTTTATGATGGACAGATGCACTTTTATGATGGACAGATGCACTTTAATGATGGATAGATGCACTTTTATGATGGACAGATGCATTTTTATGACAGATAGATGCACTTTTATGATGGACAGATGCACTTTTATGATGGACAGATGCACTTTTATGATGGATAGATGCACTTTTATGATGGACAGATGCACTTTTATGATGGACAGATGCACTTTTATGATGGACAGATGCACTTTTATGATGGACAGATGCACTTTTATGATGCATAGATGCACTTTTATGATGGACAGATGCACTTTTATGATGGACAGATGCACTTTTATGATGGACAGATGCACTTTTATGATGGATAGATGCACTTTTATGATGGATAGATGCACTTTTATGATGGACAGATGCATTTTTATGACGGATAGATGCACTTTTATGATGGACAGAAGCACTTTTATGATGGACAGATGCACTTTTATGATGGATAGATGCACTTTTATGATGGACAGATGCACTTTTATGATGGACAGATGCACTTTTATGATGGACAGATGCACTTTTATGATGGACAGATGCACTTTTATGATGGATGGATGCACTTTTATGATGGACAGATGCACTTTTATGATGGACAGATGCACTTTTATGATGGATAGATGCACTTTTATGATGGATGGATGCACTTTTATGATGGACAGATGCACTTTTATGATGGACAGATGCACTTTTATGATGGACAGATGCACTTTTATGATGGACAGATGCACTTTTATGATGGACAGATGCACTTTTATGATGGATAGATGCACTTTTATGATGGACAGATGCACTTTTATGATGGATGGATGCACTTTTATGATGGACAGATGCACTTTTATGATGGACAGATGCACTTTTATGATGGATAGATGCACTTTTATGATGGATGGATGCACTTTTATGATGGACAGATGCACTTTTATGATGGACAGATGCACTTTTATGATGGACAGATGCACTTTTATGATGGATGGATGCACTTTTATGATGGACAGATGCACTTTTATGATGGACAGATGCACTTTTATGATGGACAGATGCACTTTTATGATGGATAGATGCACTTTTATGATGGATAGATGCACTTTTATGATGGATAGATGCACTTTTATGATGGACAGATGCATTTTTATGACGGATAGATGCACTTTTATGATGGACAGAAGCACTTTTATGATGGACAGATGCACTTTTATGATGGATAGATGCACTTTTATGATGGACAGATGCACTTTTATGATGGACAGATGCACTTTTATGATGGACAGATGCACTTTTATGATGGATAGATGCACTTTTATGATGGATGGATGCACTTTTATGATGGACAGATGCACTTTTATGATGGACAGATGCACTTTTATGATGGATAGATGCACTTTTATGATGGATAGATGCACTTTTATGATGGATAGATGCACTTTTATGATGGATAGATGCACTTTTATGATGGACAGATGCATTTTTATGACGGATAGATGCACTTTTATGATGGACAGAAGCACTTTTATGATGGACAGATGCACTTTTATGATGGATAGATGCACTTTTATGATGGACAGATGCACTTTTATGATGGACAGATGCACTTTTATGATGGACAGATGCACTTTTATGATGGATAGATGCACTTTTATGATGGATAGATGCACTTTTATGATGGATAGATGCACTTTTATGATGGACAGATGCACTTTTATGATGGATAGATGCACTTTTATGATGGATATGCGCTTTGATGACTTCCAAACAAAAATCCCCATTCACTCCCATTATAAAGCTTGGAAGAGCCAGGACATTGCTTAATATAACTCTGATTGTATTCGTCTGAAAGAAGAATGTCATATACACCTAGGATGACTTCAGGATGAGTAAATCATGGACGAATTTTTATTTTTGGGTGAACTACCCCTTTAAATCTTGGAAGAGATGAAGCATTTTTAGCCGGAGTTGGTAGGTCATCCCTAAGACTGACGTGTGTCTCTCTGGTCTGTGTTAGTGAGCTCTCGCACCGCACAGATCTGTACTCGCGCCAGGGCACCAGTGACACCGTCGAGGAGCCCGTGAGCGAACGAGACACACACACACACTGGGCCAGTTCTCCGGACTGGGACCGAGCCGATATCCCTCCCTCGTACAGTAAAGCCACGGGCCTGGATGCGGACGCTGACGGCAGGAGGATTCGCATCCGGACACCTGATGAGAGTCAGTCTCTGCTGTCCATGAGCCATCAGCTGACGGCCAATGAGCTTCTGAGGAGCAGGTGAGCCGCGTCATGTGACCTGGGGCTCGTTGCATAAACTTAGCCATTATGTTAAGACTGTGTCTTAAGATCTAGTATGACCCACTAGCAGTTAGTCAAGGCTAGTCTTACTTTTCGGTATCAAATTAGGCCAATGTACGTTTTAATGTAACTGACTTAAAGTTATGAACAGTCTTAAAGATTTTTTTTTTTAATATAGTAAAGTGTAATTTATTCCTGTGATCAAAGCTGAATTTTCAGCATCATTACTCCAGTCTTCAGTGTCACATGATCCTTCAGAAATCACTCTAATATGAGGATCTGATACTCAAGAAACATTTATGATTATTATCAATGTTGGAAACGGCTTCATATTTTTGTGGAAACCGTCATATTTTTTTTTTTCAGGATTCTTTGATTAATTGAAAGTATTTATTTGAAATTAGTGCTGGGCAACGATAAAAAAATTTTATCGCGATTAATCGCATTGTTATGCGCAAAATTGAATTATGAATTCTAAAGTAGTGTATTGCGCACTTTTGATTTAAATGTACTGCTACAAAAGTGCAATAACATGTGGTTTGCAAAAACTTTAAACAAATAAGGTGCTTTTATACCAGCAGTATTCCCTTTACACCAGGGGTCTCAAACTCGCGGCCCGCGGGGTGATATTTTGTGGCCCCCTACTTGACATTAAAGTGTAATGTTAGTGCGGCCCATCGTTGCGTGTGCCGCGTTTTAAATGGGCTACCATATGGTGGGTTTGTTGTCAATAGTTGCCATAGACAACCGCTAAGTACAAACATACTGCGTGCCTGGAAAAAATGAGCGCGTCGCTTCAATTATGAGCGCGCTTGCCGCGCACGCGCACCTACATTTGAAATAACGAACTTGAGCGCGCAAAATATATGAGCTCGATATGTGAACGGCCCCTTGTCGAGCTACCACCAATCAGCTCGTGAGCGACGTGTTGGAGAGAGACCCTGCTCTAAAACAATGTGAGAATAATCATTTTGAGCTTGTAATATGTGTCTAACAGGTTGATAAGAAGGTTTGCTTTGATTTGTGCACTCAGTAATTTGCCTGAGACACTATACATGTGTAGAAAGAACTCAATAAGACGGGCAGACATGACTGCAAATATTTGTATTTCAAAAGCAATAATTGTTTTTCTAAGTATATAATAAAAGGAAATGTGCCTTCCAAAAAAAAAACATTCAATATCATTAATGTGTTGTATAAAGAAAATAAAAAGGACATAAGCAAATATAAATATTACAAATATGTGTTATAGACAAAGAAAGTTTGTAAAATGAACTTCAACTGTCAGAAGGACAGCTCATGAAGAACCAATCATGTACAGAAAGGAATGTTCAAATTCAGAGGAACAGCTCAGAAGAAACGTTAATAATCAGTTGTGCTCCTTTTTTGGAATACTTGAATACTATTTTTTTGTGGAATACTTGATGCGGCCCAGCCTGACCCCGACTCTACCTCCAGCGGCCCCCAGTTAAGTTGAGTTTGAGACCCCTGCTTTACACAGTATCAAATAAAATATTTCTTGTAAATCTCAACTTAAACATTAATGTAATCAAATCAAATATTTAAACAAAGCTATTTGCCACTGCCAGGGCATTACCTTTTATCTAGCTTGTTAAAACGAGTCCAGTTTTCTTGTGTGTTTTTTTCTGAACAGGTATCTTGTATCAGGGAGCAGCAGAAACAGTCTGTGTAGTAAAAGGGTCATGATCACTACTACAGATATAAGTCGACCAACGTTACTTCTCTGATAGCAGCTTAGGTTTGGTCATGGCATGCCATGGTTTCCCACGTAAGATTACATTAAACAGAGGTAAAGCCCAATTTATACTTCTGCGTCGAACTCACGCCGTAGCTGTAGCGCGCGTACCCTGACGTGCATCTCTCCAAAAATGTAACGTCAATTCTACGCGTACCGCAAGCGCTGTGATTGCTAGAACCGCTCCCCGGGTTTCACACTCTCCCTCTGCATGTGTAATTGCGCGTCAACGCGGACAATGACGCATATATATAAATGAAAACCAACGCGTAGAGGCTCCGGCGTAGGTCCGACGCAGAAGTATAAATCAGCCTAGAGTGAGGTGAAGTGGTCAAACACAGGTGCAGCGACAAGCGGGTGCGTTCCTGTGAAACTGTTGCGCTCATGCTCGCCTCACGCACGCGCCCGCGCGTTGCCGAAGTTGAATTGTCTAACTTTTTGTACACGACGCGCAGCACAAATCATTGGAAGAGAGACTGATCCTCGGCTCGCTGTTTGTGAGTTTCCAGAATCTAAATAGTTATCAGGACATCAACAGGAGGGAATTCACATGGCAGAGCATCCCCGCTAAACTAAACGCAGGCCTATCAGGTAAAGTTATGTATAATTTTAATTTAAGTTAAGAAGGCTACAGCTGCGTAGCGCACGTAAGCCGTTGTCATGGTTACTATCCATAGAGCGCCTGTCATTCACTCGCGGTCGCGGAGCGCTGTCTCCCTTTCTGTTCACCTGAGACACTGAGAACCTGCCAAAGCCTTTCCACTGCTGGTTTGGGTGGGTTATTTGCTGGCTGACCAACATCCCACCCCTCCTGTGATCATGGTTTGACTGTAGGTCTATGTGTATTCAGAGCCAGTGAGCAACGGACTTTCAAAATAATAATAATGAAAAAAAAACTGCGTTAACGCGCGATAAAAAAATTGTCGGCATTAATTAATAAATGCGTTAACGCGATAATAACGCGTTAACTTGCCCAGCACTATTTGAAATATAATCTTTTGTAACATTATAAATGTCTTTACTGTCACTTTTGATCTATTTAATGTGTCCTTGATGAACAAAAGTATCAATTTCTTTCAATTAAAATATAAATCTTACTGTCCCCAGACTTTTGAACAGTAGTGTTTGTAAAAATAACACCAGACGCACGTGTTTCAACTCATTTTGCATTAATATTGCTAACAACACTTACAATTTAAGCAAATCATTTCTTAAATGCTAGTTTTAGAAAAGGTCGGGTTATGTTCTTTAAACAAGGCTATTTATGTCAAGTGTGTCGAGTAAAAAAAAACAGACTAATTATAATTTTTTTTTATTTTTTTTATTTCTAATTTTTAAACTTACAGTACATTAATTTTGTTTCCTTTTTTGTTTTAAATGAGGCTGAAAAGCCAATAAACAGTATGTAACCCATTTAAATACAGACATGTTGTTGACAATTGTTGTTCCATATTTAAAAAACAAACAAACATTTATTGTTTTAATGAACAGCTGGTTCCCTATCGGTCAGTCACTACAACGTAGGTCAGACTGACCAATAGGAATCTCGCTAGAGAGGCCAATCTACTTCGAGTGAAACTAAAACAAGCCAATGCACATTGGCATGCAATCATTTGCATCAGCTGCGCGTCCTCGTCAGCGCGGGTATTTAACAGCAGCTGTTGTGATTGCACACTAGCTTTTTGCTTCGGAGCCAAACGCTTCATGTTTAATTCTACAGAGTGTGACTACGAGCCTCTTCTTTGGACCTCTCCTTCCCTGTGCGGGCGTTACAGCACGGCAGCGCGAGCAGTCTTCTTTTTCTCTCTCCTGTCTGTGGTGTGTTGAGCAAAACCAAAAAGCTGTTGTAACAGCTGGTAAGGTGCGCCGTACGAGCGCTCAAAAGCTGTTTTCACAGCTGGTAAGACAGCGAGAGAGAGAGAGAGATCGCGCACAGACAGGTGCACATTCCTGTCTGTGTTCGCAGTGACTGTTCCCCTGCGTGTTTCAGCACCAGTGAGAGCAGTCCCTAAAAGAGCTTACACAAATAGAGAGCGTCTTTTAAAAAGAAAAAGATGACTTTCTATTTGTGTATTTCTGGATGCGGTCGTTACCTGGGCTCACAGGATGGTCACAAACGCTGCCTCGTGTGTCTGGGCATTGAACACGCTGAGGCAGCGTTTGTGGATGAGTCATGTACCCATTGTGGAGATGACCATCGCGGAGCTACGGTCGAGACTCCTGTTCCTGCAAAGGGGCGGAGTCCCCGTGCCTCTGCCTCGTTCCAATCCTCCTCAGAGGGTTGCTTCGGGCGGGGGCGCGAGTGACCTGAGGATCACGGTGAGCGCGTCTCCTTCGGGGAACCAACCCCCTAGGAGCCCTCACCCCTCTCATGCTCCGCAGCCAGTTGAGCTTCCATTGGAGAAAGCTGGACCATCCTCGAGGTGTGTACCGGTTGTCTCCTTTGGGGCTCCCAGTGACCAGATGTCGATCGCTGCATCGGAGGGTGGGTCAGACCTCTCTGCGGACGACGACTCGGCACCGCTGCCTCCTTCGGGGGTGCCAGCGGTGCCTGAGACGGACCCGGAGATGATGGCCATGCTCTCCCGGGCCGCCAACGGGGTCGGGATCGTGTGGAATCCTCCACCGTGTCCCGAACCCTCGAGGTTGGATGATTGGTATCTCGGGGTGGCGCGCGCTGTTCTCAGCAACCCACCCCAGTGCCTTTCTTCCCGGAAGTGCATGAGGAGCTTACGGGAACGTGGACGGCACCTTTTACTGCCAGAAACCGTTCCAGGGGCTCCTCCTCCCTCACCACCCTTGATGGCGGGGCAGCTAAGGGATACACGCGTGTCCCGCCAGTGGAGCGGGCCGCTGCAATGCAGCTGTGCCCTAACTCCACTCGGCGCGGAGAACCGTGTCTTCCTTCCCGGGCCTGTAGGTACTCGTCGGACCTATTCGACGAGGCTTACAAGGCCTGTGGGGAAGCTGCCTCTGCCATGCACGCCATGGCGTTGCTGCAGGTCCATCAGGCCAAGGCACTGAAGGACCTGCACGAGGGTGGTCATGATCCACAAGTTCTCCAGGAACTTCGTGCCGCAACGGACCTCGCGCTTCGTGCGACGAAGGTCACCGCGCGGTCAGTGGGTCGTGCGATGTCCACCTTGGTGGTCCAGGAGCGCCATCTCTGGCTGTGTCTGGCAGACATGAGGGAGGCTGAGAAGCTCCGGTTCCTCAACTCCCC